GTTTATCACGCTGCGCTGACCATGCAACGCTTGCACGAAAAGCCGAGTGTTTCCAACGCTTTGCTAAGACGACACGGTGGTGGCACCTACCCGTCGCCTTGCGTTCTACACTTTATCACCTCTGAGACGGGCGCGCACGCCCTTCTCGAACGCGCAACGTTTTCCAAGAAAACTGCCAGATGGCACTCATGTCTCACGTGCGACGTGTCTTGAAGCGCTCGTTCGCCTCCGCTGCACGCTCGAGGCACTCTAACACAGCGCCTCCAGAATACCATTCACCAATTTTCTGGGGCAGAACATCAAATAAATGTTTTGTTCACTCTCTCCACATGCAAGACTATCGTCTTTCAACGACATTTGCAGATTAACATGCAGATACTGGGCCAATTTCTTAGTGTGGCTTTGTATCGGTAGGCCACCTGCACTTAGCCGTTCGTCTAGTTGAGACGTGTAATCTACGTCTAGCACATAGACATCGGAACTTCAACTCAGGTTAGCTGAACCTGCCTGCGTTCACCGTCTAGCCCCAGCTCCTGGAACATCAGCGCTGCGACACCGCCGATATCGCAGTAATGCCAGAACTCTTTGGGACATCTCGCATCCAATCGTGGCGGACTCAACGCTGCTGGAATTCGCACGTATGCCATCACCTTTTAATGCTTCTGAACTTTCGTGTCTTTAACTACTGTTCATTCATTCAACTGTTTGTTTTATTGTGTGTTAATTTAATTCATGTTAATACTTCTGGCTTGTGAGCTCATTGTTGTTTGAAGTATTGCTTTTCTTGTGTCACATACTAGTATATTAAATCTATCGTTTCGTGTTCCCGCACACCTCTCGTTATCTCTTCACTGCTCTGCTTGCGTATAGAACGAACCAACTTGCTGCCATTCCCACCGCCGACTTCGCGCCGGCGACGCTAGAGTGGCAGCTTGTAAGAGAGAACTGCCATAAGAACTGCCATAAGAAATGCCATAAGAACTGCCATAATATTATGGTTTGGTGCACATGTTGAAGACACTCTTGTGGTTCACATCAGTCCTTAGCCACTATTATATGACGTGCCTCACAATCATATCGTGGTATCAGCAAGTAAAATAAAATAACGTCATTTATTGTTTAACCGACAGACTCGACCACGCTTCTTTGCACAGTTAATTACTCCCCCCCCCCCCCAAGTATAGTGGCAGCAACTGAAGTTGCTATGAAAGTACCGCTGTAATAATAAGGAATAACTAGTCATATAAACAAGAAACGGTTAGTGTAGACCGGGAAGAGCACAGAAGTAACTACAATGTGGAAATATATTTATCAAAGAGCACGCACTGACGACGGAGACATACACATCTTATGAAAAAAAAAGGAATGGAGAAAGACACGAGCCTTTAGCCAACAGCTAGCGTGGCCAGGATTGTTTTTTTTTGTTTTTGTTTTTTTAAAGGAATGGGGTTGGACGGGGTTTGGGTTCAATCATATAGTATATGTATGTTTGTGCTTGCGTTTGTATGTTTGCGCGTACGTTTACTCATGCAGCTCTGCCATGGTCGTCTAGCAGCTAAGGTACTCGCTGCTGACCCGCAGGTCGCGGGATCGAATCCCGACGGCGGCGGCTGCATTTGCGATGGAGGCGAAAATTCTTTAGGCCCCCCGTGTACTCAGATTTGGGTGCACGTTAAACAACCTCAGGGTGTCAAAATTTCCGGAGCCCTCCACTGCGGCGTCTTTCATAATTATACGGTGGTTTTGAGACGTTAAACCTCACATATCAATAACCAATTATCATCGATTCTTCACCCACAATCAGTGACACCGAAGCCGGCACGGGAATTTCTGCGAAACGAGCTATCACGCTCATGGGAAATTTTCGAGTGCCAAGAAGCTGAACAGTAAATCTTTACCAATAGTGGCTTCCAGACCGGCAAAGAACTTCATTGTGGTTCTGAGGGGCGGCTCGAAAAGCTGAGAACCGCTCCTACGTCGGGCCGGGCAGGTCATGCCCGATCACTGCGTCACTGGCCCTGTGTACGGCCCGTGGCTGAGCGGCGAGGTCAGAGCTTTTAAGCGCCCCCCTCCCTCTTCTTTCTTGGTGATGCTGCAGAACAAGCAGCATAGCCAGCATTTGGGGGGGGGGGGGGGGCGAAACTCCTAAAGCTGCGGATTTGTCCATGCATCTCTGTGACCGGTTCGTAACCACGTATAGTCGTATGACTCACTTTTCCAAAGCAGCAGTTGTCAAGCCACGTTTCATTGCGGTAAACAGCGTATAGCACCAAGTTTAGTTTTATTCAGCAGCGTTTAGCCGTATGCAGCATGCATAAAATCAATGTGCCTTTTTGTGCCTGATCCGCGCCGCAACATCAGAAAAACCAGTGTCATGCGTCTAAGTGCCAAACAGACTACGTGTACGTAAAGGGCGAGTCAAAGCTGTCGTTATTTGGCGTCCCGAAAACTCAGAAAGGGCGTAAAGAAGGCGAGAAGAACCTGTCTGAGTGAACAAGCCCCTGAAAGGCACCAGCGCAGTGCACGAGCTCAACTTCAAGCTGCGTTATGATGTGCTCAGAGGCTATTTGAACATTAGAGATGGAAAAGAAGTGTGGATATATAGTTCCTGGAAGACCCATCTCCACGGCGCTGCTGTGGCGCGATTCTTTCCACTCTGCCAGCCTACCTTAGAATAAAAAGCCACAGTTGTGCCAAAAGGGCGAATCAATTATTTGGATAGCAACATACTCGAATGTTTTACGAAGCAATGCTAGCATCCGATGTTACGTAACTCTACAAAACGCTGGTTTGACGACGACAAGACAAAAGACACTCCCAATGATTGTAGGCAGACCAAAATCGGTGTCGTGTCTCACTATGTAAAGGCGCCTTAAGAGAACACGGCCGCTTCAGGCACACTTTTGGCGCCGTTTTTTTCGTGTTGAGAGCGCGGCTTGTAGAAGCTCCCGCCTGCAGTTGGGGCACAAGGCCGCGCTTTGATTGTTGCCGCGGCAACCAGAAGCGCCCTCCCTCCCCCCTGGTTCGCTCACGAGCTAAGCGTGTGCGCAGACGACCACGGCTGGAAAGGCGGCGCAGAAAAGCGGCGCAGTTCGCTCCGCAGAAAGAGGAGACTAGCGCATGTGTGAATGACAGTGGCGATAGCAACAACGGCGAAACCCAATCAAAAAACCCGCAAAAAAAAAAAAAAGAGCCGACGCAAGAGATTGGAAACGTCGGATGGACCATCATATTCGTATGGTCCCTCATTAGATGAAAGAGGGGGTGGGGTGAAGGTTCATTGCAGCGCTTCCCCTCCCCCGTCTTTTTTACCAAAGATGGTTAACAATAATGGTTAATAATAGCCCCGATAAAACTACTATTTTTGTGCAACAACCAAAGAGGAGCAAAAATAATTAGGCTACAATATATCATTCAAGCTTAGCGAAGACACAAACGCAGCAAGCATACCTGCATGTTTAAGCTTGGCAAAGAAGCGGGTTGCAAACGGCAAGGTGAAATTTATTTGATGCAAAAGGTTAGGGTCACGCGGCATGAAGCCGCATGTTTTAATGCTACATCATCCTTTTCCGTGAGGTGCCTTATAGGGGCAAATGTAATGTGGTCTAAAATTATATAGTGACTCTGCAATGAACTCTAGTGCGCCCCCCTCCCCCCCCCCCCCCCCAAAAAAAGCATTATAACTGCGTCGCACTAAAAAAAGAAAAAAAAGAAAGAAAGCTATGGGTTGCGTTGGCTGTCATCGGGCTGACTTTCAAGAAATTCTATCGTAAAAGAAAAGAAATAAAAGCAACATATCCACGGAGTCAATAATAATGAGTGGGGCGAAGTGTGCGTCCGCCCGTCCATCCATCTGTTTATCCATCCATCCGTCCGTTCATCTGTCCATCCGTCCGTCTATCTGTCCGTCCATCCGTCTTTCTTTAAATCTGTCAGTCTGTCCATCAACTATACGAAATCGTCATACGAAATCCTCTGCCTATATCTAGTGATATTATGTTCAAAATGATGATGATGATGACAACATTTACGCACAACGCCATCTATTGAGCAATTCATGAACTAGAGGCTGCATGCTATTACTACTACTACTACTACTAGTAGTAGTACTACTACTACTACTACTACTACTACTACTATTACTGCTGCTGCTGCTGCCACTACAACTACAGAGTAGGGAACGACCCACACCCTTAGGAGCTTCACCCCTAGAAAGACAAATCGAGAGCAACATACGCTCTCAATACAGTCGGATGACAGTTAATACAAGCAATATTATTTAAAGGGGCCCTGAAACACTTTTTTGAGTAACCATGAAATTAACTCACTGGAAAAGCGTATTACCCCACAAATTGAACGCAAAAAAAAAAAAATTAAGAATCCGTCCAGTACGAGCGGATTTGTCACACGCTGCAATCACTTTTTCTCCTCTCTCGCCCTGAAGAAAGCGCTGGAAGCTGAGTACGGAGGGATGGGACGGGCAAACAAAAAACGACACTCGCGCCTCGTGACCTTGAGCATTTTTTTTCTACGTGTTCACGGCTTTCGCAGTGCGATCGCACGTGCACGTGTGGACAAATGACGGCTTCTCGCGGCGACCTCTGTAACAACTGAGCGCGCCATGTTCAAATCAGCCAATGGCTGATAGATTGGCTTACTGGGCTTAATTCCGTGATTTGTCGAGAGAAAAGAAAGCTTTCTCTAGCTGATTTTGATAATATATTGTGAATTCCAGACCGTGTGCTGCGCTATATATTTGGCTCGCGTGTTGTCAGGAGCCTCTACTACCAATCGGCAGCGTTTTCTGACCATGCTGAAAAAGTGTTGCAGGGCCCCTTTAAATACCAAGGAATCGCGCGTCGCAACTCGCGTGCGGCCGGCGGCAAGCGGCTTGTGCAAGTGATGCTTCTATTCAACTTGCCTGTGGCGCCATCTATCACATACAACACCAACTGCGTCAGAGGCTGGTACCTGTGGCGGCACACTCGTGGCACACTGCGCGCCGTTTACTGCCATCTCTTAGGCTATGTCTGCCTATGCTCTGGCAAGATTCTGTGGTAGGTGTTCTGGGGGCAAGCGTCTTACGACATTTTTCGTTGCGCCTCGAGATGCTTTCGCTCTGCTTAAACTACCTCCATATTCTTGTTCGAGTGTGGGGTAATGATCATTTTAACAGAGATTGGAGCGGTGGTGGTGTACGGTGATATGTGTGTGGTGATTGAACGTGCTTCACTTCGTGAGCTGCGCTGTGCTTGGGAGCCCGACAGCCTGCTGTCTAGAGATGCTCGTTGTTGAAAGCGCACTTAGAGCTTTCTCAAGTGGTCAGTCGTGTGTAACTTTTGGTGTCATTTGCTTATGCATGCTGCGTTTCCGAGACAGCGCTGACTGCTTGCGCCTCTGGAGCAGTGTCAGTGGAAAATAGACTGTAAAAAAATGAACTGTCGCTAGTGCAGTTGCTTGGGGCAGTGTGATTCCTTCGGTTTCAGTCGTATTGCGCCACGTTTTTAATGCCTTGAGTAGCTGTAAAGTTTCTTGCATGTTGCATTTCGGTCACCACATGGCGCGACGCGGCCGCGTACGTGAAGGGGCGCGATATGGCATCAAGTACACTTCTATTAGGCACATGTGAAACCCACGACGAATAAGTAATCGAATAGTTGATGTCATGCATAATTTGTAATTATTGCTTAGCTGAGCTGTATTCCCTCTGACTTGTGCATCTTCGTAGAACCCTGTGGTCTATTTCACATTTACGTTTCACGAATGTAACGTTGAAAGTGGATATGTATAGGCGACAAAAGACAATGCAAGGTGGCCCGATGAACAAACGAGAATTTACAATGGACAACCGTACGCTATAATTTGTGGTAGAGTGTTCGTATCTAGGTTAAACACTAACAGGGAAGCCTTCCTGTGTAAACTAAATTCACTGGTGCTTTGCATGCAACAGACCCTCTCAACCCATGACTGGCAACTTACCTTTTTAACTAAAGCAGCAGGAGTACACCTATTGCATTTGGCGAAACCTAACAGATAGGCACCTGATGCTGACCAGAGAGTGCAGTGATGTTCTTGTATGCTGCCTCAGCATTGGCGGCATTGACTACAAGGGATATCAAGAAAATGAAACGCTCGCTGAAAACATTGACGATTTCAAAGTGTCTCCCTTTTGGGCACATTTTGAACAAACACTGCCTGGCTGCGTCGGTAGTAGCCCATGACCCCTCCCCACTTCCACCTAAGAAATTATACACATGTGCCTGGGTGAGTCCGACTTTTCTGCGCCTACTCGCTAGGCTATGCACTGGCAGAGCCGAGTGTTCAAGTGCTACCATAGAATCTTGTCAACTGCCTTACGGGGGCCTATAGGACACAAGCTTGGAGATTAACAAGGAAACTCGATAAGGACCACACAGTGTGTGTTGAACAGAAAATCAGAGGTATAACATTCAGAGATACGAAGGAAGGCAGCAGAGTGTATCAGGAAACGAACAGCAGAATGTCAAAGAATAAATGGACCAGAGCAAGTCATATTTTATGAAGAAATGATTACCAGTTGTCAGTTAGAGCGACAGAATGAACTGACTCAGATGGGAAGCGTGGCTATGAAGAGCAAGGGGTGTGGTAAAGTTACAAAAAATTGATATATTCACTGGAATAAAATGAGATTGGCTTGCAGGGTGGGTTGATAATTGGGAGATGCCTTTACCCTGCAGTCCAGTGCCCTGCAGGCTAACAACTACTATGATACTGGAAAGGCTGTGTGATGAAACGTAGAAATATTGTTGGTAAGCAAACTAGCTGCTGTCAGGTTACCTCTTGCCATGCGTGCAAGTTTCTCTAGGAAAAAGTACGAGTTTGTTCTAGAAAAGTGTTTACTAACATCATTTTCATGCCTGCCATCACCCTCTAGAGAGCCGAGCTTGATTATTTAGTCTAGCTGTTCATGGCATAGCATTTCTCACCATTCAAGAACCACAAAGACGAAGCATGCATATGCAATTATTTTTGTTGGAAGCAATTCATGATGCCACAGTAGTATGACTGTGGGCATTTCAGTATAGCATGTGTAACTGCGGCACCCACTTTCATTTTATTTATGGGTCAGGCAAATAAGCTGATCAGGTTGTCAGATAAGTAGGCAGACTATCATAATTCTTGTTCCAAGTGCTAACTGTGTAACATATTAATCAGAATTAGGATGAATCAGAATCAAGGTAAATAACTGCTTGGCACCCAATAGTTGAATAGCTAACTCAGGTAAGTAGTCAGAGTTTGTACCAGTTGATCCCCTCCTTGTGGTGCCATGCTTTCTGGGCTTCTACAGGGCAATAGTGTAGCATTAAAGTTGGGTGTTATAGATGATATAGCAAACATATTCCAAAAGGCCAGTAGATAGCGACTTGGGTAAAACTGTCACAAGAATAAAAGATAATTTTAGATGTTAGAGAAGGCTCTCTCGGTGTTATATGGTTGGTTGCACTCATTTCACGTTAGCAACATTGTTACGTTGCTAGACATAATCTCTGCAACAGCATTGATTGTGCATTATATAAATAGTTTTTCATTCTTCTGCTAAAGACAGTAATGTACTGAAATCTTTAAATGAATTCGTACATTAGCAGTGTAGTTTTGCACAGTATCAACACTAATAAGTTTAAGAACACATGCAGGGCCTGCAAGAAACTGAACAACCTTTGCCACGTCTAATTGGCAGTGCTGGACCAAAAGAGCTCAATGAAGTGGAAGTGTCAAGGCCGTGCTTACAGCCAAGATTGTGGAGGACCAATGGAAGCTGATAAACTAGGTTCATGCCCAGTGCTAAGGCCAACGGCGATTTTGACTGGGGTAGCCACCTTCCACAGGTGAAGAGAGTGTGCCAGCTCTTAAAATCATAGACATTTATGTTTCTCTTTTGTGCAGCATGTCACTCATAAATTGATTATCAATTACAATCTCAGCTTTACTGCATTTCACCAAACTTCAAAGAATTCAGATCCACGTCGGTAGTGCCAGTTTTCTACGAATCGCTAATGAAAGAGGATAGATTGACAAGTTTGACTAGTGCTCAGTAAAAGTCACAGTGCAGATGCCAGGCAGAAATTTTTAAGCTCTATTGCAATTTGCTACATTCGGGATAGTTGTGATTAAAATTAGATGCATCGTATCAATTGTTCCTCAGAAAGTATATCTTTAACTCATATTTGAGAATACACCTTTGATACTCATACAGTTTATTGCTAAGTTGCATTCAAATCATGCAATTAAAGTGCATTTGGATTTCATACATATGACTCATACTGGTGCTCACTGGCTAATATGAGCACATATTGCATTTATTTGATCACCCACTTTATATGCCTTTGAACATGAATGTTTCACTTTGTAAGAGTGGTTCAATGCACATAACATTTACCTTCGCACTTGCCTGGAGTTGTTCATTGTCTCTACGAAAACACTGAGCCCGATCGTATATTTCTCTGGTGGCACTGCTTGTGGAGTGCTAGGTGTTACAATCGGAATGACGTGTGGGTAGTCAAGACATTTATGTAATTAAATTACTGAATTTAGAGGGTATAAAACAATGCAAACACAAGGACTAAAAAGAGACGAATGACAGGAAAGTTTTATATTCCGCTCATTGTGCCGTTATATACTCTTCATCATGAACCGAATCTAACTAGCCTAACTTCAAGTTTTAATTTTTGTGTCTAGTGTGACAAAAATTTGGCAGGCCACAGAACTCTAATGTAATTATCACATACTGTGTTTTACAGATACTTCAGTAGTATTGCTTAACAAGGAAGTTGATGTGCTCAAAAACAAGGTGATTGCGTTGTGATTTATTTGGAGCATGCAAATTTCATATTGCTGATTTGTCAATTTTTTTTTTTTTTTTTTTGCTGATAGGCAGTCGCTACTGTCCTGCTGGAACTGGGAAGTCTGCCATAGGTCCATGTCTCAAGGAAATACATAATTCTTCCCCTCAAAGTAAGAGGAGCTCTTTACTCTCAAGTTCTTGTAGTCTTGATGTTGCTTTAGTGTTATGCAAGTTATTACCTTGTTATCATGGAAGCCTTAAGCTATTCAACTGATGTGTGATGTAAAAAAAGTAGTGCAGAGGTGAATGTTCCAAAAAAAACTGACTTAGCTTTCTTCTAGCAGCTTGAGCAAACGAACCAGTCATGCTTGTACACTTGAAATGACACATTGGCACATGTGTTCTGTAATGTCATATTTGTCAAAAGAGTTAGAGTTTCGGGCTTTCTCTGTTATCTTTCTGTAAAAAAGGTAGCACATCTAATCTCAGTTACTGCGCCAATCGGTTGCATTTCTTGCACGTGATGGCCCGATTCTGCTGCGTGAAAATACTGTTAAGGTAAAAAGAAATGCAAATTGTATGGCACCTATGTTTTCCACACATTTTCTTAGGTGGCTCTTAACTAACGGTAAATAAAGGTCACAAGAGTCATTCATAAAACAATCAATAATTACTCATATTTTATCTCTGCTCATTTTAGAGTGCAATAAAAATACACGTGAATGTGTCACACTGTTTGTATTTCATTTTATCATCCTTGCACCTGCTTGAGATTTCTAGTTAACAACCCAGGTGTGCATACCGAGGCTGGCACAGACAGACATCTGTTTAATCTTTGGAGGTCAAACGTAATGATAATGTTATAGTTGCTACAGAAGACTCATTAAACAGAACCTGAAACGACCAGAGACATATGTTCTTTTTAACGGACATTCCATTTGGTGAGGAGAACGGAAATCAGGTATGAAACCAATCATGTTAAAGCCATTTGTTCCATTTAAGCTGCAGTTCTGTTTAAAAGATTACTGTGTACCGAGAGTCCACTGTATGTAATCTTGAATGAGGTAGACAGAGCAGAAAAATTCATTGCTTCCGAAAAACATAGCATAACAGCTAAAATTATAGGCTTGGTGTTCTGCTTGGGCGAACCGAACTGGCACCGCTACCAGACACATGTGGCGGAAAAGTTGAGATTGTCATTTGTTGCTTTGGCTGTGCAGTCATGGTAAAGAAGCATGCCCATCGACAAATGTTGGGTTTGCGTTGCCAAAATACGGTATTCTTTCATTTCTCTGTGTGCTTAATTGCCACAAATACTGTAGAAATATTGTTCGTAGGCAGCTGCCTGTAAAACTCAGTTAACACAAAAATTGAACGAAAAGGAAAGACCACTCTCGACTGCATCTGTGCAGCGAAATCTTGCTAATTCGTCCCCCATTAATTAGAAATATCATACAATTCGGATGTGCTTTCTGGTTCGGGCAAACATATCTTATGTTTAATGTCATCAAACTACTTAACTTGGTCATTTTTGGCTGCAACCTGGTCAATTTAGACGATCTTCGGAGCCCTTCTAGAAGGGATGCAAATGCACATCACGAAAGACCGAAAATGGCATTCATAAACAACGGGAACAACTGCCAGACTTAAAAATGCACGGTTGCCAGCTGCACTCTTACCACAATCGCCCTGTTGGAAACTGAGGCTTTGGTGGCTGCAGCAAACTAGCTTCAATCTCAATTTTGCTCAGCTCATGTGACCTGTGGGGATTTTATTTATGATTGCGTCAATAGTGACTGAGTCAAAGCTTTCACAAGCTGTAGTTTGTTTCCCAGCGCATCTTCAGAACTTCATAGTCACCACACATGACTGTACATTGGCGAAACAGGTTTACCTAAATGCGAAAGATGCAGTGCTGAGGAGTTTTATTTCGACATCACACACATGCCATGTGCGTTTCTTCAGAAGTGTCTGGACGCTACGATCATGTCCTTAGCTGCCACAGTTTCCTCCAGTGTGGATGCAGCACTCGTGAGCTTTGCTTTGACATCAAACTATGCGCATGCAGTGCTGCAAACTCAATGATGAAAGATGTCGAAGATGAGCCGCAGCGGTGGTTCTGCATGTTGCTATAAAACTTGCTTGCTGCATTATTATGGGCCAACGGTCAGTTGCCGGCAGTTTTTCTGGCCAAAAAATTATCTTATAGGCACAAGTGGGGGGGGTATGTAATACAAGATGGGTTAAGAGCATATTTCGGCTTAAAACACTGAGATCTTGAGTCGTGATAACATTTTGAACGAAGCTGTCAATGGCCCAAAGAGCAGATTTTGCACCGCTTTTACACACAATGAGGACTGGACTTGTATTCATAAAAATAATGTTATAGTTACAGACACCTGTTTGTCAAATTCTGTACAGTTTTGGTAATTTGGCATTTGGTTTATTTGGACATTTTTCTCAGTCTCCTAACATCTGAATGAGTACTCTAGTAGGCTGACAACTTCCACCTAGAGGAGCAATCCAACTGTCTGCGTCTTGTGCTCTCAAGCGTGATTTCTTGCCAGCTCGAATTGTGATCAGGCACTCAATTGTAGCATCCTCATCATTGAGAATGAAAAGTGTTGGCCAGGCACACATAAAGCATTCAAAATTCAAAAGCTCACCTCCACTCGTATGTCGCAGTCCACAGTTTTCATTTGCACTGTGTATTTTACAATTAATGTCAGATTTTTCTATTGCGCACAGCAGCTCGCTCAGACCACAGACCTGACCACTCGCGAGCAACGTCTGGGAGAGCATGTGCACAGATGTTTTTTTCTCGACGGTGGCACAATGAGTCTAGCAACAAGAACAAACTAGTCGCTCAAGTAAAGGCATGGTAGCCTCTTTCAGAGCACCACTTCAACTTTGCAGTTAGCCCATGGACTGAAAAGAGAGGGGACCCTGACTGGACAGGGAGACGGTCTCGTTTGTGACAGCAGCTACTGACGATCACCTCTAGAAACCCTCGAGACAGCATTCAATGAAAGGAGTAAGCCTTACCCGTTGTTCTCTATATAGAGTGGACTAATCTTCTATGCAATATTTATGCATTATTGCTAATGTAGAAATAAAGTGTAATTTGCTGACTGAGCTTGTTGCCTTATGCCCCCGAGCTTGTCATAGCTACGATGACTAACGCTAGGGGAAGCGGACGTTTTTTTTTTTTTTCACTTTATTTTCAATTCCAACATGATAGTTCAAAAAACTGTTTGGACCCGTAGCCCAAGGCTAGAATAGGGTCCAATAATGCGATACAAAATGGCACAGTATCCAATTGATAGCACAAGGCAACAAATAGCACATGTAGCAAAGCAATAGAACAAGGCATTGAACCAGGGTACAAGAGGCTAAACATTGCGGATATAGTAAAGAAGGTTAGGCATTGTACAGACATATATATTCAGATACTCGAACTTGGGTAAGATAACAGGAACATGTAATCTTTATACCCAAACAAAAGAAAGGCAATGAGTAATAACAACTATGCAGTAAACTTTCACTGGACGTAATTATACTTATATACAAGAATTGAACGATTTACTATTAAGGGGGTTGCGGGGACACATTAAGGATTGCAAGGAAGTGTTTTTTTATTTCCAGAAGGAAGTTAACAGCCGATTTTATATCCTGGGGCAATCTATTCCAGATTTTGGTACCAACGAACTGCAGACGCCGTTCTCCATAGACGTTGTTCGTGGGAGGAAGGTTGAAATTACCGGCAGCAGTATTCCTCGTAGGACGGGATGAGGAGCAAAGAATGGACGAATGAACAGGACGGTTATACCTTATGATATTATTAATGGCAATGGCTGTTCTCTGTTGACGCAAACTGTCCATTGGTAAAATTTGCAGTTTACTAAACAGGGGTGCACTGGGATGATCGTGGCTTGAGTGCGTTATTATTCTTAGTGTGCGCTTCTGTAGTTTTCGTAAAGGCTCAAGGTATGTAGCGTAAGTCCAACCCCATGAATCAATGCAGTAGGACAGATGACAGTGGATGAGAGAAAAGTACAAGATCTGTAATATTGCAAGGTCGAAATAATTGCTCGCTTGCAACAATGCATGACAGCCCGAAGATAACCTCAAGCACACTGATTTTATATTGGGTTGCCAGTGGAAATCGTTGTTGATAACTACACCTAGGTATTTAAATGAATTGATTCGTTCAAGTGCATAATTATTTATCTTTATTTGAATGCTGTCTAGATTTATTGGCATATGTCAGGAATGAATTATCATGTACTTTGTTTTTTTTCGCGTTGACAGTAAGTTTATTTGCCTTGAACCAATGTGATATATTTGCTAGTTCAGCATTTGTTTTTGTTTCAATTTCTTGCATATTTTCCCCCATAACAACTAAAGCTGCATGATCCGCGTACAGTAGTAGCTCTGCAGAATTAATAACCAGTGGTAGGTCATTTACATATAATATAAAAAACAAAGGGCCCAGGACAGATCCCTGCGGGACCCCTGTGCTTATCGGTTTTTGCGAAGAAGTGATGCCATCTAGAGAAACAATTTGACTACGATGAGTGAAGTAGCTGGAAAAGAATTCAAAGCTTTCGTTTCTAAAGCCATAGTTATTTAATTTTTTTTAAGGATGCTGTGGTCGATAGTGTCGAATGCCTTCTGTAGGTAAAGAAATAGAATAGAAACTAGTTTATGGCTATTTAAAGCTGTGTTGACATTTTGTGACAATGTTTGAACTGCAGTGGAAGTAGAATATCCCGGACAGAAACCATGCTGTTGCGGACATAAAATTTGATATTTTTCCAGAAATTTGTTGATTTGAGAAGAAAGTAGCTTTTCAAAGATGTTATTTATTATACTGAGAACTGATATCGGGCGGTAACACGAAGGGTCAGAGCGATCACCGTCTTTAAATACGGGCAATACTTTGGCAACTTTTAGAGGATCATGGTAGGATGAGGTTGCTAGGGAATGATTGAAGATGTGGCACAAGATGGGGCCTAATATGTCTGTTATCCTTGATCAGATGGACTGTGATCCTATCCAGCCTTGGGGTTTTGTTATTACCCAATTTTTTCACGGTAGATAACAGCTCTCCTAATTCTATGTCATGAGTAAAGAAGGTATTGGATATGCAGCTGGCTAAACACATGTAATTAGAGTCAGGATGACTAGATACCAAGGACGGGCCAATACTAGTGAAGTATGAATTGAAGTTTTCAGCAGTTTGTTCGTCTATTGTTAAAGAGAGGATACGATGCGCACTAGAACTTCCTACAACTCCTTGTATAATTTTCCATATTGTTTTTGTATCCCCATTCACGCGTTAAATCAAGCTGGAGTAGTAGTTCTTCTTGCGTACGCAGACTATTGTTACAGATTCATTCCGTATCCTTTTATATTGCCCCCAGCAATAATGATTATGTTTATGCTGTTTCCATTTATTGTACCAGAACTGTTTTTTCTTCAAGATAGCAAGAATGTCTTGGGTCATCCAAGGGCAGATCGGGACATTGTAAGAGCGAGAAGATACGGTAATACTAGCGTTACTGATTGCAGTCTTTATAGTTTCGATTAGATTGGCAACCTCAGTATTTACATCATCATGGTACAGACTGCTTGGTACGAGAGATAAAAGTTTGTTCCTTAATAGGGTATAATCTATTTTTCTAATGACAGAGTGATTCTTAGGTGCAGTCTTGGACAGCTCTATAATCGAGATACAGATAGGAAGGAGATCAGAGATTGGTTCGTCATACACACTTGCGTTGATCGGGGTGGATATGTTTGTCAACACGTGGCCTATGATCGTCGCTGAGGTACTAGTTAAACGTGTGGGCATAGAAATCAAGTTTCGAAGATTGAAAGAAGCAAGTAAAATCTCGTAATTAGAAGATGCTAGACTGCAGGTATCAATATTGAAGTCTCCCGTAATGACAATGGGAATGTTGCAGTTTGCCGCAAGTGTAAATGGGGCCTTTTCAAGCATATCTAGAAAAGAAACATACGATGAGTTCGGAGGACGGTATATAACTCCTATGATAAGGGAACACTCCAAGTTGATGAACAGCGATTCAATATCTGCGCAGTTGCATGTGACAGATTCTAGTTTCAAAAACGAGTATCCTGATTTTACAAAGACGGCCACACCACCGCCACGCGTGCTTGACTCTCGTGGATTAGATATGAATGTGTACCTATCGATGTTGTAATTTTCGCCCTTTTTTAGCCATGTTTCCGTCAACGCTATAACATCAACAGTCTGGGCATGCGTAGAAAGGAACGCAAGGAGCAAGCTAAAATTCTTGTTTAAACTGTGGATGTTGGTGTAGAAGACAGAGATATTGTTGTTTTAGGTACGTTGTAAGGTGTCATTACAGAGAGTGGCATGATGTTAGTTATAAGAGTACCATTTGTTGCAAACCGCTATTTATACTATTTTCATCAGGTCGTCATCGCATGTGACGTGAACAACTCTCGAGTTCTCGGACTTCCGCATTAGAATTTGGCCATTAGCAACCCATGCAAATTTCCAGTTCCTTTCCCGTTTGCACTGGATAGCTTTTCCGAGCAGAATTTTGTTTTCGAGACACAAATGGACATTCACGTATACTGGGCTATCTACTTGGTAACCCAGCAGGGACGCATTCAGCCGCTTCTTTTTTTGCGGCAAACAGAAGCTTGTCACGGGTAGCTCGAGAGTTGAATTTGACGATTATATTGGGCAGCCCGCCCCCTTTTGTGATGACACGATGCACCACATCCACGTCATGATCTGAACGCGGAACATTCACGCAAGTGGCCACCTTATGCAGTGTTTGACCGAGGTCTTCCTTTTCAGTTAAAGGTACTCCTTTAAGTTCTAGATTAGTCTGCCTGGAGTACTGCTTCAGGTCTACAATTTCTTTCTTTGCGTCTCTGAGTTCCTTCACCAGTTGATGACATACCCTTTTGTCTTCAAGACTGTGCTTTTTAACTTCGCTTAACTCCTGTCGCACAGCCTTTAGCTCAGATCTGAACTCGTCAAAGCCCTGACTATGAAACTTCAAAGACTCCTCGAAACTACTGACGCTAGCTTTGACCTCTGTCATGGCTGCCATGATGGTGCTGAACATTTCTATTAGCACCTTTGTGAGTTCTTTAATAGAACTGGGCGTTTTGTCCCCCAGTGCTTTGGAGAGGACAGCAAGGGCATCCATCAAGGCAGGCAGAGAAACAGAGAATCAGCACTATATGCACAGGAACAAGTGAAGGATGCCCATGTAGGTTGCCAATGCACAAATAAGTAGGCCCTCAGAGCAGACAGACAGCCATTTTCAAAGCAAGAAGAAGATGCAACAAGCTCCCATAACCCACCTGCAATGTGTATACGCAGGAATTAGCAGTCGTGCCCGGACGGCTGCCAGTCTGCTCTGAACGCCGACTGTCCAGTTGAGGCCGTATTTATTAATGAAGGGGGCACCACCAGCGGAGTTGTCGGGAAAGCAGACGCCACGTCCGGTTGGGGCGGTGAGTCGATGCGGCACGTGTAGATGAAACGGCAGGAGTGCGACTGCGCCCAGCTGAGCGTAGTATCTTGCTATCCGGTGGGGATATCAGGCCCGGGTGAGATACCCTGTTAGTGCCTGCTATGCCTAAACGCAGGAATTAGCAGGCGGGCCCGGACGGCTGCCAGTCTGCTCCCGTTGATAAGTACACAGCACAACTGTTCGCAGCAGAGACTGGAGCTCGGCTTCTATACCAGTCGTACATAGAGTGGACCCCTACGAACTTTGTGCTAAGTGATGAGCAATTTATTTTGAAACATTGGCTGTGGTGATGGCTGTGGTGAACTGATCGGGAGCTTCCATCCTTACAGCCAAAAATACATGGGTGCATGCGAGTGTGCACGTGTGCTTGTGTGGTAGAGAGGATATGAAAAAGTGATTGGATGTTTTGGTGTTCCCTTTGTGATGCCCTGGAGACGCAACAAAAATTGTTTTATGTGCAAAAAGCTGCATTTTATCTGCGTCCTGTTTTCTTTTTCTTTTTAAGTAGTGCTCACTATTTGGTTTTCAGCAAAAAAGAAGGAGTTACGTGGAGGAAGGGAAGTCTGGTTTTCTCCAATGTTTTCTGGAAAAAAGGGAATGAGGTTTTATTGAATGCTTACGCTAACAAGAGTCGCTGCAGTCCAGTTTTTTGGTTACAGCCCTTGGCAGCTGCTGTTTAAGAGATTTTTTAAACGGTAAGAGGAACACAAGTAAGCACATGTTAGCACTGTGCATTTTTACACACACACTAACACACACAGATACACATGCAAAAAAAAAAAAAAAAACCTAGAAAGACTGTTGCTGGGCTTCGAGGACAGCGGTCACCACAGTCATGGCTGCCACTCTAACCACGCTCCATGCATAAACTAGCATAGAATGACCCGGAGCTGAGCTATAGTTAGAAGGTATTCATATTAAAGAGACGGGGCATGCAAACACGCACACAAGAGGGAAGTCGAGGCACTGCAAACACCGACTAACAACTGTGAAGGCACTCTATGGCAGAAAAGAAAACACACTGTATCTCTTTAATATGTATAAACTGGCATGCCAGCCATGCTTTCTGCATAATTGCTTACCCACCGACATCCCAAGCCATTGCCCCTGTTTCTCAATTCGCTCCAGTCTCGCTACAGATCGGAGAGTTAGTGTAAATGGCGCCGACTACAAATGATGCCCCCAGGTAGGAGCGTGTCTCAGCACCTTTTGTTGAAGGGGGAGAGTGATATGTAAAGTACAGGTGAAGAAAGCACAGTGGCTGTACAGGAAAGTGTGCATTGGCTGCCTGCCATATTTACCTACCTTGCTGCTTCCTTTGCCACCAACATGCTTGATGCCACAGCTGTTGATGTTTGTGGAGAATGCAGCCACTGCACACCTACTGCACACCCACAATCCTCCTGAGATAGAGCCACCTGTACAAAAATATGTGAAAAAAAACACTGTTCATTGGAACAGCTGGGTTCTCCGAGTAGAATTTTGATGCGTTTGTCATTTCTTCATATTTCTGTTCAGTGTCCTCTTAAGCAGTTAATTCGCATGTATTGCCATGGGCTTGTTTGAGTGATGAACAGCTCTGTGATTAACATCAATACAGAAATATAAGTTTTAAGTTTTTTGTCTACTTTCTTTTCTGGCATGTGCAACATTTCAATTCATATTGAGTATGTACTATGCTGTCTATCGTCTTTCTGTTTAGTTGAAGTCTGCACACCTGATACTTTATATATCAAGGATAATACTTATGTATGCATATAGTAAGTGGCGACTTATCGAAATTTATGCTTGTGCATGTTAATATTCAACTGGCTGAAATTCAGAAATCTTATCTTGTGTGAACTCTGCAGCTCTTTCACCTGATAAACTTCATCCCTCAATCAATGCAGTCTGGGGAGACAAGATTTTTTGGACAGGATCGTGCCCTTCAATAAAAAAGCTGGAACTACGGACTGCTGATGTTTGTTCTTTCCGGCAAAAAGGGGCCAAGCTTCAAGCATGGATTTCAAGTTTGCTGGTCACGGTTTGGGCCATCCAGCAGCTTTAGCAGGTTGGTTTGCTTTCTTTATGCGAATGTGTTTTAGCGACTACTCTCTCTCCACTAGACACCTTTTTTAGGCAACATTTTTAACATTATAAAAAACTACTCGATACACCTCAACATTTTCATCTGTGCCAGACTTAAAAATGCACGGTTGCCAGCTGCACTCTTACCACAATCGCCCTGTTGGAAACTGAGGCTTTGGTGGCTGCAGCAAACTAGCTTCAATCTCAATTTTGCTCAGCTCATGTGACCTGTGGGGATTTTATTTATGATTGCGTCAATAGTGACTGAGTCAAAGCTTTCACAAGCTGTAGTTTGTTTCCCAGCGCATCTTCAGAACTTCATAGTCACCACACATGACTGTACATTGGCGAAACAGGTTTACCTAAATGCGAAAGATGCAGTGCTGAGGAGTTTTATTTCGACATCACACACATGCCATGTGCGTTTCTTCAGAAGTGTCTGGACGCTACGATCATGTCCTTAGCTGCCACAGTTTCCTCCAGTGTGGATGCAGCACTCGTGAGCTTTGCTTTGACATCAAACTATGCGCATGCAGTGCTGCAAACTCAATGATGAAAAATGTCGAAGATGAGCCGCAGCAGTGGCTCTGCATGCTGCTATAAAACTTGCTTGCTGCATTATTATGGGCCAACGGTCAGTTGCCGGCAATTTTTCTGGCCAAAAAATTACCTTATAGGCACAAGTGGTGGGGGTACGTAATACGAGATGCCTTACCCTTTGTTCTCTACATAGAGTGGACTAATGGACTATTCTTCTATGCACTATTTGTGCATTATTGCGAATGTAGCAATAAAGTGTTGTTTGCTGACTGAGCTTGTTGCCTTATGCCCCCGAGCCTGTCGTAGCTACGATGACTAACGCTACGGGAAGCGGACTTTGATAAGTACACAGCACAACTGTTCGCAGCCGAGACTGGAGCTAGGCTTCTATATCAGTCGTACATAAAGTGGACCCCTTCGAACTTTGTGCTAAGTGATGAGCAACTCTTTTTGAAACACTGTTTGTGATGAACTGATGGGTAGCTTCCATCCTCACAGCCAAAAATGTATGTGTGCATGCTCATGTGCTTGTGTGGTGGGGAGGATATGAAAAAGTGATTGGATGTCTTGCTGTTCCCTTTGTTATGCCCCGGAGATGCAACAAAAATTGTTTCATGTGCAAGAAGCTGCATTTTATCGGCGTCCTGTTTTCTTTTTCTTTTTAAGTAGTGCTCGCTATTTGGTTTTCAGCAAAAAAGAAGGAGTTACGTGGGGAAAGGAAAGTCTGGTTTTCTCTAATGCTTTCTGGCAAAAAAGGGATGAGGTTTCATTAAATGCTTACGCTAACAAGAGTCGCTGCAGTCTAGTTTTTCGGTTACAGCCCTTGACAGCTGCTGTTTGAGAGATATATTAAACGGTAAGAGGAACACAAGTAAGCACATGTTAGCACTGTGCATATTTATATACACACACATGCACACACACACACACAAAAATAACTTGGGAAGACGGTTGTCAGGCTTTGAGGACAGCGGTCGCTGCAATCATCGCTTCCATCCTGCCATACTAACCATGCTCCGTGCATAAACTAGCATAGGATGACACGGAGCTGAGCTATAGTTAGGAGGTATTCATGTTAAAGAGATGGGGCATGCAAACACGGACAAAAGAGGGAAGTCAAGGCACTGCAAACACCGACTAACAACTGTGAAGGCACTCAATGGCAGAAAAAAAAAACACACTGTATCTGTTTAATTGTATAAACTGGCATGCCAGCCATACTTTCTGCATAATTGCTTACCCATCCACATCCCAAGCCATCACCCCTGTTTTTCTATTCGTTCCAGTCTCGCTACATATCGTGGAATCAGTATAAATGGTACCAACTACAAACAATGCCCCCAAGATGGGGGCGTGTCTCAGCACCTCTTGTTGAAGGGGGAGAGTGGTATGTGAAGTACAGGTGAAGAAGGCACAGTGGCTGGACAGGAAAGTGTGCATTGGCTGCCTGCCATTTTTATCTACCTTGCTGCTGCCTTTGCCACCAACATCCTTGATGCCACAGCCATTGATGTTTGTGGAGCATGCAGCCACTGCACACCTACTGCACACCCACAATCTCCCTAAAATACAGCCATCCATACAAAAATATGTGAAAAGAACACTGTTCATTGGAACAGCTGGGACTTCTGAGTAGAATTTTAATGCATCTGTCATTTCTTCATATTTCTGTTCAGTGTCCCTTTAAGCAGTTAACTCTCAAGTATTGCCATGGGCTTCTTTGAGTGATGAACAGCTCTGTGATTAACATCAATACAGAGATAAGTTTTGCATCTACCTTCTTTTCTGGCATGCACAACATTTCAATTTATATTGAGTATGTACTATGCTGTCTAGCTTCTTTCTGTTTAGGTCAAGTCTGCACAGCTGGTATTTTATATATCAAGAATAATACTTATGTATGCATATATTAAATGGCGACTTACTGAAATTTATGCTTCTGCATGCTAAAATTTAGGTGGCTGATGTTCAGAAATGCTATCTTGTGTGAACTCTGCTGCTCTTTCGCCTGATAAACTTCATCCCTCAATCAATGCAGTCTAAGGAGACAATATTTTCTGGACAGGACCGTGCCCTTCAGGAAAAAAAGCTGGAACTACGGACTGTAGATGTTTGTTCTTTCTGGCAAAGAGCGGCCAACCTTCAAGCATGGATTTCGAGTTCGCTGGTCACCGTTTGGGCCATCCAGCAGCTTTAGCAGGTTCGTTTGCTTTCTTCATGCGAATGTGTTGTATCGACTACTCTTTCTCCACTAGACACCTTTTTTAGGCATCATTTTTTAGCATCATAGTGTAAGTACTTGGTACACCTCAACATTTTCATCTGCGCATAACTATGAGTAGCCTGTACTTTTTATAGGTATTTCTGTATCTTGGCCAGAACCTGACTTTATAGGCATGTTCTATTTGCTGCATTTGTGGCTTATGCCAGTAGTTTTTTGTTGCAACAAAGCACGGTCTGACTAGAGCTGGCATATTCTGGTACAGTGAAGCCCACATATAATAGCCCCACTTAAAATGAACTTTCCCGATTGATACCCACTTGTGTGGCTTCGGGAACTGCGATCATCATCACCAGCAACAAGTGTGGCTCACCTGGCTCGTGACGCATTACGAGTGAACTTGGTTTGCTGGATTCCATTCTCATGTGAAATAAACAACGTGCCACAGATATCTCGTTGATTGAGTGTGGTGCATCACGGCAGTGGCGACGAAGACAACGAAGACCTCAATAAGTCCTGGGCACGCAGAACTATGAGCGTGGGACGACCAGCACTGTTTTAAAAAAACGTACCTACTTTGATGGGCAAGACATCACGGATGCTTACAGAAGCAGAGGATTCTGCTTGGAAATATGTACACAATATTTCTGTTTTTCAAGCATATTGATACGCAACCGCCGGCACAGCCTGTCTGGAAGAAAGAGAAAGACGACGTTGGTGGCTGGTTGTTGATGAACTGTCGCCATCTTGTTCGCCGAGCACAGTGCATCGTATTTAATTTATTAAATACGTTACCCGTAACATTATTGGTGGAGGTGGACGACTCCCGTACCTCAATGGAGACGCGCAGCGGTCGCAACACCGGGGACTCTTCGGCTACTTCAACTGCCAGTGCCTCATCCCCACCGGTCTCTCGATCCGAGTCAACAACCTACGTCACCCTGCCACCCCTGCGGGATCCTGGAACTTTCTCCGCTGACGGCACCATCGACGTTGACTCCTGGCTGCACCGGTACGAGCGAGTCAGTGCTACCCACCGCTGGGATCCGACGCTCATGCTGGCCAATGTTGTGTTCTACCTCGACGGCACGCCGCGGACATGGTTCGAAACCAACGAAGCCGAAATCACAAGCTGGGATCTTTTCAAATCGAAGATCCGTGATCTTTTCGGTGATTCATCTGGTCGTCAGCTCGCTGCCAAGAAGACTCTCGCCACTCGCGCCCAGACGTCTACTGAATCGTACGTGTCATACATTCTTGACGTCTTGGCGCTTTGTAGCAAGGTCGATCAGCGCATGTCAGAAGAAGAAAAAGTTAACCATGTCCTCAAAGGGATTGCTGACGATGCCTTCAACCTGCTGGTTTTTAATAACGTCACGACCATCGACACGATCCTGACAGAATGCCGCCGTCTAGAACAGGCTAAAGCCCGCCGCGTCACCCACGGCATCACGCGCCTGCCGAACACAGCGGCTACTTCCTCGTGTGATGACTCCGTCCGCCCAGTTCCCCGATGTGACAACCTCACCCGCATCATTCGTCGTGAGGTCGAGGCAGCCCAACCAGTAGCTACTCCATTTCCAACGCCTGATCCTTCACCGACCACTATCTCACTGATACAAGCCGTCGTTCGTCAAGAATTATCAAACGTCGGCCTACACCCCATTCAACCAGTCTACTCTGCCGAGCCTTTTTATCGCCGTCCATCCGCTCCTCGATATGGTTCCAACTACTCTCGACAGCGCAATTTGTCCGAATGGCGTACACTGGACGACAAGCCCATATGCTTCAACTGCCGACGTGTTGGTCATATTGCTCGCCACTGCCGCAATCACTGGGCTCCGCCGGCACGCTATGGGCCTCCTACCCAAGCCCCTTCTGACCACCAGTCGTCCTCAACATTTGATTTTGGTTCCCCTATGCCGACCACATCCTCTGATCCTGCCGCACCTCTGACGAGACCTCGCTACGCCCGCTCGCCATCCCCTGCTCGCCGTCAATCTCGTTCGCCCCCACAACGCCGTCCTGCCTCTCCGACCTATTCGCAGCGCCCCCGACCGGAAAACTAGGCAGTGCAGCTTCTGGAGGTGAAGCTGCATTGACGACGACTTCTGCAAGAAATCCTCGTGTGACATTACCGACCACCCGGAATCTGTTGAACGTTACTTTAGACAATGTACCTGTGCGCGCGTTGATCGATACTGGCGCGCATGTGTCCATAA